TTTAGTCTTTTTAATAAAAGTAACGGCTTTAATAAGAAAATTGATCTAAAAAAATTAAATTTATCTAAAGTAATTTAAATTTAAATCAAATTAAATTCGAACCTAATCTTTTATGTCATGTGGTTCAAGCTATTTCAGAAAAACTCGAGCTTCTTTTAAAATATAAAATGATTCAGATTGAGCTCTATGATTAATACAATTCCTAAGAGGGAAAAGCATTGAACTGGTAATAGAGATAAGAACAAGAGTGTGTTCGTTCCTGTAGAATTTCTTTTTTGATAACTTTGGACTGGGTAACATCAACAAAATGTGGGCCAACCAAATTTCCATTTTTTGAAAACTTATTGACTAATAATGGTTTTTTTAAAAATATACATAAATTTGATTCGTTGATTCTTATCTTATAATATAAATATACATTTACACAAAAGGATTAAATAGTTTTTAAAATTTTGAATGTAAACATGATACATCTATTATGGATATCATGTTAATCCATATTTTATTAGAAATAATCAGTAAATTACATACAAATTTTGTTTTAATGTATAATATGATATGTTAATTTTAAATTCTTATAGTTATATATATATGTAATTGCAATTACACACAAATTCTTATGTTTATGTATTAATTATTAAAATAACGATTTTTTGTTCAAATAATTAAACATATTGATACGATTCTAACCTAAATGGACAAGACAATGCATTGTCGTCTCTATGATCCCCACAATATCTAAACTTTTTAGTGATAATACAATTCTTACACTACTTTATTAGGATAAAACTTATGGGTTTTTATGCTACTTAATGATATAGTCCACCTTTATTATTAGGGATAGGTTTGAAATTTGACGAATTCCTACTTGATTTTATAAAATTATTTAAAAAATAAATAAATTTGAGTTTAAAATATTTTTAATTATTTAAAATAATATATTTAAATATAATTATCATAATATCTATTTCTTTATATATTTTTAAATTAAATTATTCTTTTATTGACTAAAATGAGAATTATAGATATAGATATATTTGTGTCAAATCTGATTTGAGCAGGGAGGAAACACAATAGAGACCTGTGAGGAACATGCCTCTAATATTTAAAAAATTATAATTTAGACTTATACACTAAACAAAATAAATTATCCCCAAAAATATTTTAGAAATTTAAATTAAACTTTAAAATTTTTGATTGTTCTCAATTAAACCATATACATAATTTTTTAAAATTCTCATTAAATTTCTCAAAATTTTAAAAATTATAGTTAAACATTAAAGTTTTGAAAACAATATAAATTGAATCTTTCAAAATTTTTGAAAAACCTAATTTAAACGTACTTTTAAAAAGTTTTAAGTTACCCCAAACTTAATCACCAAATTTCATCATCGGATGTAGGTTTTTTTTCCTCCAAAAACTAATTTGAATGTGGGCTTCTAGCCAGGATATCAGGCGGAGAGATACATACTCATGTCGGGTTCTAGCGGTAAAAAAACTCAAGCCATGTTTATCTCTATTTATGATGTCTAACAAAGGGCAAATTATCACGAGCGACAACTGTAATATATGATTAAAAATAGTGTTATTAGTTTTGTTATTATTTAAATAATAAATCGATAAAAAAAATTACTGGAAAATTATTATTTCTATCAATTTTATTATTTTTTTTCTATCGATTTTATTATCATTGGACACTTTACCGAAAATATTAAAAAATATTGATATTTTAAATAAAAATAATAATATTTTAAATATTTTTTACTAATTTATTATTTAAATAATAATAAACCGATAACTATATTTTTTTTTAGTTTATATTAAATGTGTCCTACTGTATAACTTTCCCAAACAAAGAACTACTTCGAAACTAAAAGAACATAGAAGGGTATTTACGTCATATCATGTTAAACAAAGGAAACTTCCAAATTCTCGCTTCCAATCTTGAATATTTGCTTCGTGGTTCAACAAGTTTGATTCTTTCTTCATTCGTTGTACAGATTTGCCATCAAATTTCTTCTATTCTCCTCTGTAAGTCCTTTCCCCCTCTCTTTTGCGTCGTTAATTTTTCTAAATTTTTGATTTCGTAATCAAATTATTAGAAGCGACAAGATCTATTTGCAACTGGGTTTCTCGAGAATTGAATTTATATAGAGATTTTAGTTTCTGGGTCATTTAAATTTCTATCGCTTATTGTATTTAGTGGTTACCCAATTTAATATATAGCTAAAATAGGTTCTTTAATGCTATATTTGTTGTTTGTTGATTTTATTTTGTGTGCTGAATCGTCCATGTAGAAAAACTGCAACTTTGATGTTAATTACGCTGATTTCTGTTGAATTAATCAGTATCAACTGCTAAATTTTATATTCATTAAGCTTGGTTCTTTGAATTTGGATGTTCAGTGGTGATCTGGTTGTGTGCTTTCTGAGCAATAATATAGCTTTTTGTTCGTTGTTGCATTTAGTGGTATATACTATTTATTGGTGTATTTCTTTGATTCTTTCGTAACTTCTTTATTTGATATTTGGGATGGGCTAATTTGAGCCTTTTTTGTGTTTAGACGAATCTGGTTTAACAGCTAAGGATCCTAAGAGATAGTTGCGTGCTTAACTATTATGTCGTCTAGGCGTCATGTTCGTTACAGTCCTTTAGCCGTTGACGAAGATGATGATTATGTCAGTGGGAGGCGTTATGACCCGAGGTTTGATTATGCACCGAAAGCCTTTGATAGAGTCCCATGGAAATCCATTGTCCTTGCACTCTTTCTGCTTTGTCTAGGGTGCTTGCTTCTTTTTCTTTCGTTTTTCATCTTCACAGGGCATATGGGAGGAGAGCAATCGCAGGCGTATGGCCTCTTAGTGCTCGGAATTCTTACATTCCTTCCAGGTACACTTTTTAGTCCTCGGCATTCTTACTTGCCCTCAACTATACATGTTAAACTGGATGGTGTAGAAAGTATGTTTAACTGTTGAAATTTGGGATTTGTTTGACAGTTCAATGCATTTGTCATGGTTATGCTGAACTTGTTTCAGTATATCTGATAGTTAATGATATCTTGTTTCGTAACGGTGAACCTATTCTGGTTTCTCCTCTCTTTTTTAAATGTATCGCTTCACATTGGGAAGTTTTTGCTTAAGATGACATTTAGGTTATTTAGACTCGAGTGTAAGCGTTTAGATATATATATTTTGAAGTTTTGCAGATATTCGGAGTGACCTTAGAGGGTCATTTATACCCATATTCCATGTCTAGATATGCATCGGACAGGGGTGTCTACTTATTCGGAAACTCGATGTGCATTTGATCTGAAACTACTTATTTCACGACGACCGCAATTGAAACAAACATTCCTGCAATAGGCATTATGCATGAAATAGTGCATGACGATTACAACCACCATTGGTGTTGCTGGAAAAGTTATTGTCCTCTATTGTCGAACTTTGAAAGAGCTTGACCGACACTGTTCTTTTTATTGATTGGAATTTGTATGGTGCAGGATTTTACGAGACTCGGATAGCTTATTATTCTTGGAGGGGTGCTGATGGATACACCTTTGCTTCCATTCCAGAATTAAGACGTGATATTCATCCAGTCGATTCATCCCCTCCCTCCGCCTCCTCTTTTATCGAACTAAAGTGTGTTACATTATAGTTAAGAGCTTGATTAAAGCATCCTTACAATGCTGCAAATACTTTAATTTTGAACGCAATGGATTTGTTACTCCCAGCAACAAAAGGCAGAAAACTTCCTTTAGTTTTCGTTTCGTTCCTCTTAGAGAAAGTTGTCACACCCGGCCTCGAGTCTTGACCAATTAATTGATTGTTATGATCAATTAAATCATCCAATTTTTTTTTTTATTTTTTTGAAAGGGAAGATAATATGATTGTACTGAAGTACTTTTACACCACGCGAAATCGGTATCGAAAGGGCCTCATTAAAAAATCTACTTAAATTAATTGATTGTATCAACCAAGTCGTGTGTCACAACACCGACTGTTGTTGATTATTGTATATGAGGGTGGATAAACCCTTAATTTCACTATAAGATCTATATCGATCTCTTCATTTGATTCCTAGAGAATTCCTCTCAAAAGTCATTAAATCACCCATAAAATTTTAAACTTCTTCAACATCATCCACCTACAAATGGACTCTTTCCCGGGATATATTCATCTCATAAATGGCAGCCTCTCCACCATTCGATAGTCAAATGGAGCCTCCGATCTTTGAGAAGATCAAAACTCGAAATGGAATTTCTTTCGCGATTAATTAAATGACACGTTTGTAAATTTTTGAACATAGTCGACCCATAATCTTATTAATAATAAGATGATTTGTGATGTAATTTACTCAATATAAAAATGATTAAAAAGATAATCCAACGATACCTTTTAAGGCGGTTTCATTTTTAATAGCCGATGATATGATACTAACAATCGAAAATTAAATGGTTCATTCATAATTCTTTAAAAGTAGGTAACTCGTTTACAATGTTGCTAATAATTAAATGACTTGTGGTGTAAGTTAACGTAATAAATAATAATCGAAACCACAAAGCACACGAGTGCCATATCAGGTTCTCTTTCTCAAATCCTCTCCGATTTCTTTACTTCTATAATTTTCGAATTTTTTTTATCAGAATTTAAATTTAAATTTCCCGAAAATTTTGTTATCTTTCCAATTTATCGGAAGAAAGGATTTTCAGCTTAATTGAGCTAGTTTTCATTTGCTTTTGTTTTTAGTTTTGATATAATGTTTTTTAACAAGTCAATAACCAGCGGGGATGTAGCTCAAATGGTAGAGCGCTCGCTTTGCATGCAAGAGGCACGGGGTTCGATCCCCCGCATCTCCAACTTTTGCTTGCCAAAATATTTTGTGTTCCCATAGTTTAGAGCTTTAATTTAGCCTTACAGAGGAATCTAAACATGGAGTGCCCTTTATATCTAATGATCTTAAACAATCTTCCTTCTTCTTCAATGCAACACTGTTTTACATTTTTAAAGTTTGGTGAGGTTCCGGCGCTTATCGGATCTCTCATTCTTGAATTTTCTATAATCTGCAAGCCGCCTATCGTCCACATTCTGTGTCATCCTCTTAGCTATCTCTTCCATTACCTTTCAACACACAGTTTCAATCATAATTCACACAATGAAAATACAACTTCATTGAGAATATTGTTTACGAGTTGGGTTTTTGATGTACTTATTACCCCTTTCACAAGACTGTCGCGAATACCGTCCGGAATCAGCGTGAACGCCGGAGGATACATGATGCTTATGTTCAGCTCGGAGTCGCCCCTGATCTGGCTTTTGTTGCCTCTTCTATCCGGGTACAATCTTCCGTTCACAGCAAGTTTGAAATACGACGGATCAATAAAATTATCAAGCCCTTGGAGTTGCCATCTTGTCTGCAAGGCTTAATGACTCGTTTTTGTTTGCATAAAATGTCTTGTAATCCAAGCATAAGCTTTTTTAATTGAAATGTTTGCATACAGTGTGAAATTCAAGAACTTTTGTGACATCTTGAGGAACTTGTGGCGGGTAATCTCTGCCTTTTGATTTGCATCCCAACCTGAAGTCAATCATTGGCCATATATTCTGTGTTAAAATCTAAAAAGGTATCATCTTAACCCTCCATTCATCCTGCATAAGTTGAAGACATATGGGATCAAATTTAAGGTATAGTTTTTAACATTTAAAGGTGGATATTTGATACACTAATGATGATACATATCCATTAATCGAAAAAAAAAATATCATGTCAGTCATTTATGGTTCATCATTTCTGATTTGTACGGAAAACTACGATCGTTGAAGTAACAGTTGTTGTCCGTCTTTCTTGTGTGAGAGATGGACGCATAAAGAGAGAGTCCCCTCATCAAATACGTCTGATTGATTTTCATATCGACTCTTTAACTGTTGGTGTCAGATCTTTAGGATGGTGTGATGTCTCCAGGGAATTTATAGAATCTTTATTGACCAAGATTTGATAGTTTTCTAAAGGATTATCTCTGAATATATGACAATATGTAAAGCGGATTACCTGAGTATGCTGTTGGATACCATGATTTCCTGGAAAGGTGGCAACGAAAGCTCTAGGCCCATCCTCCAAATAATCATCAAACAATGCCCGTCTCAAAAGTTACCAAAAAATGAGTGAACCTTCAGTTTGAGATTTGAATCTTGAAGAAAAGAAAAAGGATTACCTGGGGAGTCTCGTAAAGGGGAATATCAGCGGACACTGTGGTTGAATAAGTAGCAGGCTTTGCTGCAAGCTTATTCCTCACCAAATATTTCTGGGATTTTGGTTTCATATTATTGCAGGCCATTCAACTAGCGGTTTCTTCACCTTCGTTTTCCCTTTCCCGTCCCTGAAACTACGCTCATAATAATAACAAAAAAGTTGCAATGGAACAGCTTTGCTCATATTTTTTTTCTCTGGTAAGATACCGATGCAGAAAAACAGACTGCAACATCTTCCATTTATTTATCTACTTGTTTATAAATTTTGATACATTAATTAATTTTAAAATATTTTTGTTTTGTTTTTTTTTATGTTTAATGTGATATTTTAATTATTATTATTTATTTAGTGAAACAAGAAGTATCTAAACTACATCTGGTAGATGGGCTTTAACTGTTGCCTTGAATCTGCAATGGAAATTGATGTTCAAGTAAGTTGTCTTTTTTCTATAATTCTTTCATCAATTTATATAAAGCATAAATGATTATAATATATATCTGTTTATACTTTTTTTAAACTCTTATAATACATTAGTTGCTCGAATACATAACCTCTAAGAAGAACAAATTCACTTTTATCACTATAATTTATCAATGAATTCGATACAAATCATTTTTAAAACAAAACATAACATGATATGAAAATAATATTATGTCTCAAAATGTATATAAAATAAATTAGTTACGAGATATATAATATGAAAGTTTTTTATTTTCATCGTCAATTGATTTTATATCAAAATAGAAAATATAAAAGGTTGATCTCAATAATCAGTGTTAATATGAACAGAAGTAAGATTTTATGATATAAATGAACTACAAATAAAAAAAACAAATATATTTATCGATAAAAAATATAAATACAAATATCTGTTTGTTTTTCCAATACATCCCTCGGTACAAGACAGAAGTAAGAAAATATTATTTTTTGGTAATAATATGGTTTAAGAAAACATGAAAAATCCAAATAATATGGTCTGAAGAAAAATACACTCAAGACTTTAAGGTGAAGCATCGAGCAATTTTTCCTTGCGCCTTAAGACTAAGCTTATAATGGCAGCAATGGAAGCAGGTTTTATTTTACGTATATAAATGGCCAAACGCATTTATGATCAACTCATGCAAAGCTTCTGCTGTGATTTCTAGGCATTAACTGGGATTCTGTGGCCCATTCTCTGAGCAAGCCAAGAGTGTTCTGGATCAGTGTCGATGAATTTATGTACAAGGAACACTTCTGCTTCTTCGTTGTTCAGTTCTTTGGACCACGCCACTCGTTCGTTTCGTTGCGCACCCGGCCCGAAACATCTGCAGTTTCGATTAAGGAAAACACCTCAATATCAATCATTTAGATTATCGGTTCATCTTTTGAATAAACTCGTAATTTATCGATCCAGGAGATATATACCTGAACTCGTAAAAGCAAACACTCTTCTCCTTTTCTGGATCTTCCCAGTTATTCCAACCTTCGTTTTTGATACATTTGTCAATGAAAGTGAATGCAAAGAGCACCCTTGCAAAGGGTTCCCATGGACGCCCGAGGAATGCGTACCCGGGCTCTCCGTTGCCGGTTATGACACATCTGCAACGATATCACAAGTCGTTCATAGGAAGAATTGCAAATGATGGAAGTAAACGTTGTTATCTGATCACGGACCTCAGAAACACATAAGCGGTCGTTTCCTCGGCAGTAGTGCGTTTGTGCGCAGTTACGAAACCAGGTGACTTGCAGTGCAGATGACAATGTTCAAAGAGAGCTGTACTGCTTCCGAAAATATAGTCCACGTTTCCTTCGATATAGCAATCTCTCAAGTAGTGTCTTCCCTTGTGCAGGTAAAGAGTGTCCTGCAAATGTTATGTTAATCATGAACCACTGAAATGCTATGTTATTTGGACTCGAATGAGAATATCAGATATTTGGACTCGAATGAGAGTATCGGATATTTGTACTCAAATTGTCGAACGAGTAACTAAGTACCTGCCACCCCAGAAATCTGCAACTATAGAATGCACACCGATCTCCTGTAACCCTGACTGCCACAGCTTGGTGTGAACCCTGGAAGAAAGAAATTAAAAAGATTAATGAAATACCAACTATCGTCTCATATTCATGTGTCGGACATACATTTTCGAAACTAAGCATAAAAAGAAGGGGAAATTTAAGATTTTACCTCTGGAGCACTATTTTCAAAGAGACATTTTCAGCAATGAAATCGTCTCCTTCCACTATCACACTCCCGGAAGCGAACGTGCCTTTTCCAATCACACTCTCATCCTTCGAAAAGAAAAAAAATTACTCAATGAACAATCACAAGTACATTGATCGCACACTAGAATAAACATTAAGACTTACATGAAAAATTTATCGGAAGTAGTGTACCAGGTGATGTTCGGTTTTAGAAGCGGTGTTGTCCCATGTAAGAATAGTGTCCTCAGGTCGGACACCGACCAAGGTGATGAGTTTCTTGTCCTTGGGAATGAAAACGGGTTGCTTGTAAGTACCAGGTGAGATGCGGATGATGGTTCGAGTGGTGCTGTTGAGTTCGACGGCGTCTATGGCTTCCTGTACTGTTTTGTGTCGGCGTTGCCGTCTTGGGACCGTGATTACCTTTGGTTCGGCCATTGGATCAGAAAACAGTGCTCGGTTTGTATGTATGAAACGTAGTGAATTTGTGTCGAGAGAAGAGGAAGAAATGGTGTGTCATATAGTGTGGGATGTGGCTAAATATAGTGAAGGACCGATTGAATAGAGTGAAGCTGGAAATGGCACTCCATATATTATGGGACTTTGTTTAGCATATCGTTAGTGGTTAGTATCATGTTTTGACTTTTTTCTTTCGTTTTTTCAAAACTTGCATAATATCAAGATTAGCTCCCAAGGTTTATTAGATAATCATTTTGGTCCATTTCTTTTGGAAGTATTTTAACTCAACGTTTCATTTTGAGACAAAAAGGTCCCTTCAGGATGAAAACCACTAGTAAACAAATAGTTAACGCTCTAAAATAAAGAAGTTTTTACCCTAAAATGTTAGGACCCAAAGTGCTCCAAAAAAAAAAAGAGCAAGAGTCAAATTAAACAACTATTAATCAAATGTTAGGAGCCTTTTTGCCCTAAAATAAATGTTGAAGGCCAAAATGCTCCAAATTTTAAAATATCATTTTAATAAACATTGAGAATTAATTTTGGCATTATATCTTAAATCTTTTATTGAAAGCTTAATCGTAAAATTTGAACTTAACCTTTGTTTATTCCTTAAAATTGATCTTTATTCTTCCTGTTTTAGATGTTAATTTTAATATATCTATTAGTTTTAGATGAAAATTTATTAATTGATTGCCATTATAACACTTTAAACGCATATAATTATTAATATTTAATATTTTATCTTACAAGTTACATTTTTAAATTATTTATATAATTTTGGATTTTAACATATACTAAAAAATTTTGGTAATTATTCGATCATTCGTTGTTGTTACATATAATTGTATTAATAAATTTATAATAACTCTCTAACAATATATTATATCTATATTTAAATAAAATCAAAGTTTATACTTAATGATCTCTAATTTATGGACCTTTGATGTGAGCATGTAAAGTTAATTTTTTTAAATATATCATTTGAATAACAATCCGTATTCAAATTATATAAGTATATACCCAACATCTTAAAATTATAATTAATATTCGGACGTGCATAAATTTAAACATTATACTTCACACCATTACTATATATGTCCCCTAAAATTTATAAGTCCGATCATTCTTAAAATTTTAAAAGTCCGTTCATTGTATAAAATCTTACATCCGTCTATGATAGCAACACAAGAGCTCGAATAAAGTCTTGTCATTTAGGAACGACAATAACCTAACCTGGTACAAAGACAATGGATAAGAAGCAAATATGCAAGCAAACAAACAAGGTTCAGTGCATTTGCATAAAATATCTAACAAAGGAACTCCCAAAGTTTCTTGCATTCCATTATTAGCTTCACAAACATATATATATATATATATATAAAGAAACTTTTGTTAAAAACAGGACTTTGGCATGAAAAAGAAAACCCATTCAATTATCCTCCATTCTGAAATATTTTAATATTTAAAGAATAATAATATACTAAGCTTGAAAAAAATTGTTTAGGAATTTTGTATATATAAATCAAAGTTGGGATTATTATATTGTATGATGGATGACAGATAGAATTATATGAGAAAACAACCATTATCAACATATAGTTATAGGCTAATAAAATAGGCGTGTTAAAACTTCAATAGAGTGAGGATAAACTTCCTCTCATCTCTTGTAACATGGGACCAAAGCATATTAATATTACCTTTCTCTCTCACTGGAAGGATAACAAGTCCATTTTCTTTGAAGTCTTTTAAAAACTTATCAAATAAATAAATAAATTTTGATCCCTAAGTAGATGACCCTCCACCAAAGGACATTTGATAAGGCATTTGAAAGTGAAGAAAGTGGAAGGAGTATGATTAGAAGATAAAAGGATGTGGTACAACACAAGAAACACTAACATACAAGCTGATAACAAGTTAAAGACCCTTTACTTTCTTACTGTAATTCCATAGGATTCGTAGGTCAGAAGGGGTAAGCTTTAGAAGACCTAAAGCCACTTGCATAAAGCAGACTATAGCTACATTAGGTATATTTTTATCGATTTGAATAAGTACATAAAAATCAATAAGTAGAAGAAAAAATAATAATAAAATATGAACGTTTTGATATTAATCTTATTGCATATGACGAATGATGGGTAGCGATTGACCAAAGGCAATGATTAGAGGAGTTTATGTTTTACCACAAAAAAATGAAAGAAATAACCAACTCATTGCGTCATTAACGATTTAATAATCTAACTAAATCCAAAATCAAATCCAATACTTATATTGAAGCATTTAAAATTAAGTTCTAAAGTAAATTTAATGATTAATCCTATAATTTATCATATTATTTATTATTAATCATTGATAAGCTCTTGGTTGGTGGCCTAACATGTGACACAATCCATGGAAAGAATAAGACTTGCTATTTGCTAACTATGATTTTGTTTTTTTTCTAAAGCA